AGAAACTCTGGATCTATGTAGATGATGTAGGTCTAGGCCAATTCTTAACGGCCTCAATCTTCTTAGGATCCACCTGAATACCCTCTGCTGATACAATGTGACCCAAGAAAGCAACTGAACTCAACCAAAACTCATATTTTGAAAAACTTAGCATATAACTGGCTGTCTCTCAGAGTCTGAAGAACGATCCGAAGATGTTGCTCATGCTCCTCTCGGCTGCGGGAGTAGATCAAGATATCATAAATAAACACTCACAAAGGAATCTAGATAGGGCTTGAACACTCGGTTCATCAAATCCATAAATGTTGCTGGGGCATTTGTCAGCCCGAATGACATCACTAGAAACTCATAATGCCCATACCGAGTTCGAAAAGTTGTCTTAGGGACGTCGGATGCCCTAATCCTCAACTGATGGTAGCTAGATCTCAAATCAATCTTCGAAAACACTTTAGCACCCTGAAACTGATCAAATAAGTCATAATCCTCGGCAATGGATACTTGTTCTTGATGGTGACTTTGTTCAGCTGCCGATAGTCTATGCACATCCTCATCGACCCATCCTTCTTCTTTACAAATAACACCGGCGCACCCTTGGGCGAGACACTAGGTCTAATAAAGCCCTTATCAAGCAAATCTTGCAACTGCTCCTTCAATTCTTTCAACTCTGGCGGGGCCATGCGGTATGGCGGAATAGAAATGGGCTGAGTGCCCGGAACCAAATCAATACAGAAGTCAATATCCCTGTCAGGTGTCATCCCCGACAGGTCTACAGGAAATACCTCTAGGAACTCTCGAACAACTGGTACAGAATCTATGGAAGGAACCTCCGCATTAGAATCGCAGACATAAGCCAATTAAGCTAGACAACATTTCTCGACCATGCGCCGAGCCTTCATATAAGAAACAACTCTACTGGTAGAATGACCAGGAGTCCCTCTTCACTCTAACCGAGGCAACCTCGGCAAGGCTAAGGTCACTGTCTTGGCGTGACAGTCCAATATAGCATGATAAGGCGACAACCAATCCATCCCCAAAATGACATCAAAGTCAACCATATCGAGAAATAGGAGATCTACATAAGTCTCAAGACCCCCAATAATGACCACACACAGATAGACACCATCTACCTCAATAGAATCCCTCACCGGTGTGGACACATAAACGGGAGCACCCAAAGAATCACGAGGCACAACCAAATATGAGGCAAAATAGGATGATGCATATAAATAAGTAGATCCCGGATCAAATAACACTGAGGCATCCCTACTGCAAACTGAAACCTTACCTGTGATAATCGCGTCAGATGACTCAGCCTCAGGCCTGGATGGAAAAGCATAGCATCGGGGCTGGGCCCCACCCCACTCTGAACTACATCTCGAGGACGGGCCCTGGCTGGCTGGCCTCTACCTCTAGCGGCCTGACCTCCACCTCTAATACCTCGATCTCCACATCTAGGTGTCTGACCTCTACCTCTAGCTGACTGAGCGGGCGGTAGAACACCCGGTGCCGGGAACATGGCACGAGAACCCTGATGCTGAGAACTGCTCGATACTCGAGGGCAATACCTAGCAATGTGCCTTGGATCGCCAACAAGATCTCGCTGTTATGGCTGATGACCCTGAAACTGGCCCTGGCGGCCGGAGTAATCACCTTGAAAACTCTAAAGCGGAGGTGCACTGATAGGAGCTGGTGGTGCATTATAGGCTAGCTGATCGGAATAGTGCATATGAGAGCCACGACCACCTGGAGCACCGTGAGAAGCCTGAAGCGCTGAATGAAACGGCCTGGGAGGATGGCCTCTACCAAAAGTACCCCGGCCTCCAGATGAGGCCCCACTGAATTCACCAGAGTGACGAGGCCTCTTGTCAGACCCCTGACCACTCCCTTGAGCTAACAGCATCTCAACTCGTCTGGCCATATTGGCTGCATCCTGGAAAGAAATCTCGCTCCCTGTCTCCTTAGCCATCTGCAATCTAATAGGCTGAGCAAGTCCCTCAATAAACCTCCTCACCCTCTCTCTCTAGGTGGGGAGTATAAGAAGAGCATGACGGGCCAAATTAATAAAGCGGATCTCGTACTGAGTAACGGATATGCTGCCCTGCTGGAGACGCTCGAACTGCCTGCGATAGTACTCTCTCAGTGTAACAGGAAGGAACTTCTCGAGAAATAGCTGAGAGAACTGGTCCCAAGTCAAAGCAGGTGACCCAGCTGGTCTAGCCAAACAAAAATTCCTCCACCATTTTTTGGCGGAACCTGACAGACGAAAGGCGGCAAAGTCGACCCCATTGGTCTCCACTATCCCCATGTTACATAACACCTCGTGACAACTGTCTAGATAGTCTTGGGGATCCTCTGAAGATGTACCGCCATAGGTAGTGGTGAAAAGCTTGGTAAACCTATCCAATCTCCACAAAGCCTCAGAAGACATAGCTGATCCATCGTCGGTCTGTGCTGCAACACCCGACGGAACTACCCCAACGGGCTGAGCTGCTGGAGTTTGAAACTGAGGAGCCATCTGCTCCGGAGTGTGGGTAGCGGGAGTCTGGGCTCCTCCCCCAGCCTGAGAGACGGCTGGTACAAAAGAAATGTACCGGCCTGAGCAACACTCTCCATAAAGCCCACTAAACGGACCAAAGCATCCTGAAGTACCGGGGTAGCGATGAACCCCTCTGGAACCTAAGTTGGCCCTGCTGGGACGGGCTGGGCTGGAGCCTCCTTATCAAACTCCACCTGAGGCTCCATCGCTGGCGCTGCTGCTCGAGCTCTAGGCTGAGCCCTGTCCCTGCCTCGACCTCTGCCCCTCGTAGGAGCTGCCACTGGGGGCTCTGGCTGCTGCTCGGCTGAAGAAGCAGTACGTGTTCTCGCCATCTGCGAAAGAACAAGAGTGGAGAATCCAATTAGCATTGAGAGATCAAATAGCACAATAGAGAAGAATAGAAGTGAAATTGTTCCTAAATCTGTAGCCTGGGGGATAAGCACAGACGTCTCCGTACCGATCCTCAGACTCTACCTAGCTTGTTCGTGAATTGTGAGACCTACGCAACCTAGTGCTCTGATACCAACTTGTCACGATGGTGGGAATCCGGGTCGTGACAAGCTTATATATATATTAAAACGTTGCCAAGAATAAAACTGTAAATACATACCGGATGAAAAAGTAGACTCAACTTCAAAAGACGGGAATGAAATTAGAGCCCTGTGGAGCAGGCAAAGTAACTATGATTTGAGCAACTCGTGCTGATAACGTATTATAAAATTATAGAAATATAAGCCAAGAAATATAGATAAAACTTTATACTTTATCAAGTTGTATTCAAGTCTATCTTATTGATGTCTTTTGTAGAATGAGGAACACCGTATATATAGTGTACAATTTACTTGAGAGTTACAAGATATTAGATAAGTGTAATAAATATATTCATGTATAATTCAAAAATGGTTCATGGATGAGTTGTTGGGCATTCACAAATTAAATGTATTCGTAACAAAGTGTAATATATACTTCATTGCATAATCTAAATGCAAGAAACAAGATAATTTTCTGAAAATCAATCGTCTAGAAAAAAAGAAACAAAAAGAAAAAGGAAAGATAAAGAAAGCCGTGAATGGTGAAAAACATGCTACTACTTTGCCTAACATCTAAAATAGTTGAGCCAAAATTGTGAACTTTATTATATAATATGCATTCTAACAATGGAAAAACAATTGTTCTAGAAAAGACAAGTAATATTTTATTAATATAGTTACGCATTAACTTTTCTTACTAAAGCCATAATTCCTTTTAGCACGAGAATTACTTTTCTAGCTACACATAGATGCCGTACGCTTTCTTGTTGAGAAAAATATAGCTTTCATTAGGTAAAATTAAGTAAAAAAAGTTCAAACTGAAGATGACTACTTAGCTATTTAATTCTTCTAGAAAATCTACTTCTCTCTTTGCTAAGAAATCAAATTAGCATAACATCAAATAGTAGTAATTTAATTTAGACAAAAAAGAAAGCCATTGTTGTACTCTCATTTTGAGAAAAAAGTAAGAGAGCTTAATTTACACATTCAAGACTTCCTTTTTATTAAAGCTTCTTGAATTGAGATGTTCCTTAATTTCTAATAATTGCACTAGTTAAATATAAATTGCATACTTTTAAGATGGAAAGAGGCATGGGTGTGCATTTTCCATCAATATCATCTAGAAGATTACACCATCCGTCTCAAATTATATGTCGTGTTTCTCTTTTACACGCCCCTTAAAAAACATAAATTAGGAGGGACTTTGGATTATTTTATACCCTTATATATGTCTTAAAATATGATCTCCCTTCATTGAACTCTATTTATGTGCCATCTCCATTTTTAAGAACAATTACTATTAAGGATAAAATGAAAACAATACATTCTATTTTGAACTTCTAAAATGATAATTAATTTGAGACAACTATTTTTAGAAATCACAATATTTTGAGACAGGGAGAGTAGTAGTAAATTAAATAAAAAGAGTGAGGAGATTCAAAAAATTATCTCACCATCCAAATTTGGTAAAAATCAAGAACCTCTCACAATTAACTACAAACTTTCATCCACTGCATTACCAACAAACCACCCCAATTTACTCACAGTTCCAGAAACACCAAAACCTTAATTAACTTTTCCCCAAATCAAGAACCTCCCCTCATTAAAATCTGGTTTAAAGTTAACAACTTTATGAAAATAAAGCCTTAACTTCAAGGTCCTTTATTTCCACCAATCAATGCAATAACCACCCACCTCTCACCTCCCAGCTCTACCCTCCCCCCCCCCCCCCCTCAATAAGACAAAAACCAACTCTTCCCAAAAGGAGTAGAAATATACTTTACTTACCAATTTAGCAACATAGTCACCAGTTATTTGTCAGCTTTTTCACTGTAATGATAAAAATTATGGTTCATTAACTTTATACTCAAAGCTTTTTCTACCGAGGTTAACCCTTTTCATTAATTACAGTCTTGTTTGACTATGTATTTTATCTCCTAACCCACCCCCTAAAACTCAACCTCTTCTCTATTAGTCCACTTCCAATCTATCATTATTCCCTTTTAAATTGTTCAAACCATATTCTCCTTCTCCTTCTCCCTCCTCAATTAGTCCCCACACACACACAATCTCTCTCTCTCTCTCACACACACACACCCACACTCCCATTTCTTAATCAATCATTAATCTTTCTTCTGTCTAACCAAAGCCAAAGAAACCCGTAAAAAGAAAATAATTACTACTACCATTTTGTTCCAACAACAACAACCAGTCCCTCCAAGAAACCAGAAGATTCCCATAAATATAGCGCTAAAGTTCCATACCCTCATCACCACCAACACTATAGCCACCCTTTTTCTTTTTCTTATCTCCATTTCCACTATCAACAACTAACCCTTCATTACAACGGAAAATACAACAACAAAAAAATAAAGGAAGGATTTTTTACAAACCCTAACCCTAAGCTTTTTCCAAGAAAATTTGGTGATTTCCTTTGAAAACAAGAAATACCCAAAGTGGGTATTGCTCAAATCTCCAAGATTTGGCAAAAGTGTCATTGTAATGTCCCAAATGAAGCACATTGACAATATCCCATCAACCCCTGGAAAGTTCAAGATGGAAAAGTCCCCTTACAATAGGCTAAGGGTGCATTTTTCCTTTGCCAAGCTTACATTTTGGTCATTTGTATTCTTGGGTTTGATCTTTGTGTTCTTCTATAGATCACCATCTTCTTCATCCCCTGTTTCTTCAGATCTCTCTAGAAGATCTCTTAGAACCAGCTCCTACGGTGGTCCAGCTTGGGAAAAAAGGATTAAGGCTTCAGCTAAAGTAAGGTCACGTAATGGTATTTCTGTATTGGTTACTGGTGCTGCTGGTTTTGTAGGAACTCATGTCTCTGTTGCCCTTAAACGCCGAGGAGATGGCGTTTTGGGGCTGGATAATTTCAATGATTACTATGATCCCTCGCTCAAGAGAGCGCGCCAAGCGCTCTTAGAACGAACAGGGGTGTACATTGTTGAGGGTGACATCAATGATGCCACCCTTTTGAAGAAACTGTTTGATATTGTTCCATTTACTCATGTAATGCATTTGGCTGCACAAGCAGGTGTACGTTATGCCATGGAAAATCCTGGCTCATATGTTCATAGTAATATTGCTGGTCTTGTTAATGTACTTGAAATTTGTAAAAGTGTCAATCCTCAACCTGCTATTGTATGGGCATCATCTAGTTCTGTATATGGATTGAATACTAAGGTACCCTTTTCGGAGAGGGATAGGACAGATCAGCCTGCTAGTCTTTACGCTGCTACTAAAAAGGCTGGTGAAGAAATTGCTCATACATATAATCATATCTATGGGCTTTCATTAACTGGATTGAGGTTTTTCACCGTTTACGGACCATGGGGTAGGCCAGACATGGCTTACTTCTTTTTCACAAGGGATATCTTGAAGGGAAAATCGATTCCCATATTCGAGGCAGCTAACCATGGCACAGTAGCTAGGGATTTTACCTACGTAGATGATATAGTGAAGGGTTGTTTGGCAGCACTGGATACTGCCGAGAAGAGCACTGGAAGTGGTGGGAAGAAGAAAGGCCCTGCTCAATTGCGGGTGTTTAATTTGGGGAACACATCCCCTGTCCCGGTTTCTGATCTTGTCAGCATTTTGGAGAGGTTGCTAAAGGTGAAGGCTAAGAGATTGGTGATGAAGTTGCCAAGGAATGGGGATGTGCAGTTTACTCATGCGAATATAAGTTCGGCCCAGAGGGAGCTTGGATATAAGCCTAGTACGGATCTGCAGACGGGATTGAAGAAATTTGTTCGATGGTACCTCAATTACTATGGTAATGGAAAGAAGAGTGCCCAGTGATACATTCTTTCGATTGTGCGGTAGGATCCTACCATTCAATTCTTGTTCATTTTGATTCTTATGATTGTTTTTAAAAGCATCACCGATTGCTGCCCTACTTTCTTGCTTTCTATATCTTGATGATGAAGTTTTGTGGTGGATACAGCTTCAAAATGGAACCTGAAACAAACTTTTGTTACTTTTGGAATGTAATTGTTGTAGTTTTATCAATTTAGGATTCATGACTGATAGACCACTGCTGATTGATGGACAGCGGACATGTATCAGCTTTTGTTAAATTCTAATAAACGTAGCACACGATAGTTCCACATTTGTGTTCTTCCATAGATTAATTTTGTTAGGACATTTCTGAGATCATGCTTTTACATGAATGCTGAGGTTGTATATTTCTTATTTTGGCGGTTAATATAGGATTCTGTACTTTGTGATTCTATATTTCATGGTTTACTATTGGAAGCTGATTATGTAGACTCATTAGAATAGCTTATTTCCATTGTTCTTTTCACTGTTCGTTAGAGAGTTTCTTTATGGGAAAAGGGGGGCAGGGAATGGGAAGCACCATTTAAAACTAAAAAGTAGTATATTTCAGAAGATGGTAGGTTACACCAAGATATGGAAAAATGGACAAAGTAGGGAACTCGGAAGAAGAAGAAGAGGAACGATATGTTCATGCAGTTAAGAAGCCCGAATAGAATCCCCAAATCGAGCTTCTGTTTTTCCTTTCCTTTTGAGTGTGCAACTCCCTAGCGCTCAACCATAAACTCGTTAGTACAGGATCAAGGAGACAAAATTTGCCCTTCATCTCCTCTTGCCTTTCATATTTTTATGTCTGCAAGCTAGAATGATTCCTGCCTTTTGGAAAATCTTCAGTATATAACACGGCAAACACTAAGCCCTTAAGAAATGTGCTATAGGGAATTTAGCTTTCGCAATCTTGCTTGTGTTGATATTGTAGACAAAACCTTGTTGATGGCTCTTTCAAGTTATCCGTTCCTTCTCTTACTTAAAACATCAAAACGGTCAGAACTTATTTTTATTCTTTGCTTGGAGAGAGTAGGGGATAGTAGTATGTATGATCAACTTCCAACTTTACCTTCTGTTAACTTGTAAGTGTGCTTATTTTACAAATATGCCTGTTTCATTGATAATTTGGATAATAGCGGCTCTGATTCAGGTTGAAGAAGATGAAATACTCTTGAATGTCTCTGTACATGTGGTGCTTCTCTGGAACTTATTACTAGCTGTTAAGCCTTTATTCTTTTTGTGATTAAACTTAGTTTAATAAAGTTGCAACCTTGATCTCTGTAACAGTTTGATCAAGAAGCTGTCACAGTAACATAAATTTGAGCACCATAGTGAAAGCTCTCCCCAGATTTCATTCTTCTCTGAGCATTTACAAATTGGAACTCTATTGGAGTCTGTAGCGACAGCTTTCCTTATCCCCTTTCTACTGATTTTCAGACATTTGGAATTGCATTTTTGGCATCTGTAGCAATGAAAAGTTTGTGCATCTTTTACATTGTCATCGATCTTGTTATTTTCAGTTTGCACATCATGTCTCTGTGATTTAAGAATTGGTTTAATAGTTTGCATATCAAACCTAACCGTGTAAGTTGAAAGTACTTGATAAAATGGTTTAATAGCTAGCTTATCAGTTCATATAAACACAAACACGACCAAGAAACTTAATAGTTCCAAAATATATAGTACTTAGTAGTATCATATAATGGTAGATCCTGTTTTTACTCTTGTAAGATAAATTTTGACAGTTAGCTGCAAAATTGTTAACCGACGATAGGTGACAATTCTTTTTTGCGTTGTTATCTACTATTGACATTCCTAACACCTTGACAGATGGAGTTCCCTTTTGGAATTATCCCTTTAGTGTCTTGGTAGCCACATTTTGTTGCATGATTCGCGGTTGACGATATCTTAGACACTTTGGTAACTCTCTTTCTTCCCTCAGAATCAGAATGGGGACGGTGGCTATTTCTCATTGACCCTATTATACTCCTATTAGCCCTTTCCTTTGTGCCCTCAAATGCACAATAAACCAACCTTGTGGCCCTGGAACTTTGGTGCAGTAGTAAAGGTTATACAACACAAGATGTGTCGTAGATGCAAATCGCGAGTTAGAATCTTTATTGTGAACGAACTCTGGTATTACCAAATTATGAAACAGACCCATTATTCACCGGCTTTCGAAATTGTAAACAAGATTGTCTAAAATATTAATAAATGAACCAACTTCTAGGACGCTTTTGCCAGTTATTCTTTTCTTACATTGAAAGGATTCTTTTCTGCAATCTTCTATAACAATGTTAACATGCATTTGAACGTTCGGCACTGCAGATATTACTTAATTTTCGAGAAACCATTTGAACAGGTGTTCACTCTTGTGGTTGGCGACATGGAGACGATCAATCGTTAATTTGAATAACAATTTCATGAACCAAATCCACGACACGTTTTAACTTACTATTGTTATTCATGTACGCCAAGCCACTTCATAGATTAACATTCCATGTCAGTTGTGGCGGATAGAAAGCTGCATATATGCTTCTCCTTCAAGAAGAGTTAACCAAAAATTCGATAAAATAATATCAAAGCTGCAGTGCAGATGCGTCTGATCACCACTAGTCATAGTTAAGTCTCATATCTGATTCAAAAGGATCAACTAGTTCTTCCAGGAATGCATTGAAAAGAATAAGTGCAACAAATCTGCCTTCTTTCCTTTTTGCAAAAGGGAAGGTAACATTCGTTAGCTCAGACCTCAAGTCCTTCATTTCACTAACATTCTTTTTCCTTTTTTGAGGAAAAATAAAATAAAATTAGTAAATCATAATGACAGTTAGAATAAATCTCATGGTGGAAAAGGGGGTAATAGTAAGGAAAATAGCGAAGACCAAAGAGCACTATGACCTGCTACAAATTTCTTTCGTTCTTTTTTCTCCGGGGGGGTGGAGGATAGGTGCAGTGCAAGGGAGTAAGAAGAAAGAAGAATGCAAAAGGGAATGAAGGAAAAAAGTGACATATTCCAATTTATAATGGCAAAGGTTTTCTATCTGGCCATGATTCTACTTTCTCAAAATACTTCACAGGCACCGCACCATCAAAACCCTCCGTCAAGATAACTCTGTTGTCCGAGATATAAAGCTTCATCCCATCTGAAGCAATGCATAACAGTGAGAAATGGGAAAAAGTAGGACTTTTGAATTTTCATCACTTCCACACAAGTATCAACTTATGAATATGTTCTCTTTGTGACTTCGAGGTTGGTTTTTGAAACTAGAAAGTATATATAAAGAAGCTAAGACTTCAGTCTGAATACAGAAAGTTAGAATATTGTTTCCTGTCATCTCACTGCAGATATTACTTATTTCTTGAGGACCCATTATGTAACACCTCAGGCTTTAGACAGTGTCCCACATCAGCAAAACACACGAGGGATGCTGGGTATATAAGTTAACAAGCCTTAGACCCTAGTGACGCGTTTTAAACCTGTGAGGGCCTAGGCCCAGAGCGGACAATATCACTAGCGAGTTGGGCTGTTACAGATGGTATCAGAGCCACTCTTGTGTCAGCCTTGCCGATGGTGGGTCAGAGTTCAACTGAGTTTAGGCAAATCCCGGTAAGGCGGGGTAAACCTCAGTGCTGAGTCTAGGCAAATCCCATGCAGTGGGACAAACCTCAGCGAGGACACTGAGTCCATATGAGGGGGTGTATGTAACACCCCAGGCTTTAGACAGAGTCCCACATCGGCAAAACACAAGAGGGATGCTGAGTATATAAGTTAACAAGCCTTAGACCCTAGTGACGCGTTTTAAACCCGTGAGGGCCTAGGCCCAGAGCGGACAATATCACTAGCGAGCTGGGCTGTTACACATTAGAAGTTCTAATATGTTTGGTCGCCAACTAATACCTTATTCGATTGCATTTTATTGGAATTATGATAATACTTTAGAAAAACTTGACTAGAATTCAAAAATCAAAACAATTACCTTCCAGAGCTCTTCTCACATCAAGAAAGATGAGGACATTAACATCTCGCTTCATTCCTGGTGAAAAAGATTATTCAGTTACCCAAGAAAACCAAGTATATTGAAGTTCAGGCAAACTGTCTAAAAGCAAGAGTTTGTTGCTGATAGAGGAAGATACAGAAGGTCAAAGATAAAGAATGATGCATAAGTTTACACACGGGATCAGAAAGCACAACAATTAAGAAATCGCAGGGAATGATTCTTAGAAATGCCCCATGTCAGGATTCTACTAGATCAACTACTGTATCTTTGATGGTACAGTTGAGAAATTTGTGTGTTACAGGGATTATTCATGCCATGAGAAACAGTAATCGATGCAAGTGGATTTATGACATTAGCATAAAATACAATGAAATTATAAATTGTGATAATAGCAACAGATACAAGATCCTATGAGATATCTTACCACTAATCACTTCCCCATCTGTTGGCAAGCCACATGAGAAATGAACATGTAACCTTTTCATCCGTTTGAGTCCATGCTCCAAAATTGATTCCAAATTCTTCTTATAAGTGCCATGTACACAAACTGCATATTGCCACAAACGAAAACCAAGACATCGGAGACAGAAAATTCTCAAGTAAGACCCAGGGGACATTGATATAAAAATTATTGTTCAGCACGAGATGAGGAAGTGATCTCAATTCATAGACACAATTAATGAATTGAGGTCAAGACCCACCCTTTTTTGTGCTGGTATTACAATATTGAAAACAAGAACCTAAAGTGAAACTTGAAGAGTTTTCTGAACTTACATTAAATATGTATTGAGTTCAGGATCACCCCTTTTCTGGTCGACATTACAGTATATAAAATGAGAATTTGAAAATGAAACACTGAATTTTTGTACTCTTACATTATACATTTATTAACATTAATACTATGATTTTAGCACTTTACACCAAAAAAAAAAATTACTAAGATTTAGTATTTGCTACTACATTGAAAAGCATGATCTTTTCGGGAAAATTATCAACAATTTAAAATTGTTGACAGTTAAGTTGCAATAGAAGGAAGACATGGCAGTTTGACATTGTGCAAGATCCAAATTTATTCCTTTTAGCCCTATGACCAATCAACCCGCACCCCCATGACGCTGAACAGGGTGCTTAGAATTTATAAAACAGTTCAAATAGTAGCCCAGACAGACTCCAAATAAGAGTGATTTTTCCTATGAAAAGATAAATATTCCAACTAGTAGTATTTATAAGTTATTAAATGCACAAAATTCACTTCACCTGGAACTTCGTCAGCTGAAAGGATTGGTTTTAATAAGCTCTCAGTTTCAACTATCTGCTAAGAGACATAAAAACTTAGAGAAAAAAATTGCCAACTCAAAGATTATGGACTGATATTGGGTAAAGGGCACATATATGTTATTTTCATTTGCAGTGTCAGACTTTGTAAATGAATACAGTATAGTTGACATTGAAGAAAAAACTGCTGGTCATTTGAAGTTTCTACAAGAATAAAAACATAAATGCCAATCTAGTCATAAAAAATAGAAAGAACTAGAAACTTGGACATCAACTATGTTCAAAAGAACAGAAGAAGCAGGACATAGTTGAGCATAACTTAAAAAGAATAAATATTTGACATACTCAGTAAACGAGAAGAAGAAGCTGGATCTAGTTATACAAAAGTAATTTTAATGTCAACCCTGTTCAGAATAAAGAAGAAGAACAACAAAGAACATTGGAGTCTCCTCGACTGGAACAATATATTTTCAGCTACTAACGATGATACTGCTAACTTGTGGGCCACAGAAGTCTGTTGGATGTCTGCTATAACTTTAGTTTATCATACAAGGGAAAAAAACATACGAGAAGGGTCTGCATATCATGAGATACTTTTCAATAACGAAAAGATGAAATTGGAATTTTTAGAAACATGAGTAACATACCGATGCACTAAGAATTTTATAATAGTGTTTCATTTGTAATACAAAATATATAGAGAATTAATTTTTATTTTGTATAAGGTTGGCCTGAGATAAATTAAATAAAGAAACACAGTAAGTGAGGATCATATAGCTGGCCCCAACTTATTTGGGACTGAGGCGTAGCAGTTTATGAGTAAGATACGAATGCACTGAGAATCTCATAATAGTGTTTCATTTGTAATACAAAATTATTAGGAACAATAATGGTGTAATTGCTTGCACTAAATGAAGTATGCTTATAGGCACTTCCCTGACACACTTTCTAAAGTGCATGAATTGAAGGAAAATCCATGTTTAATCTCTCACTTTCCAGTCTTTCATTCTCCTTCTCTTTCTCTTCTCATCTCCAAACATATTGAGAGTTTACCTTTTCATTCATCAAAAGTTCACGAATTTGTCCAGCTATAGTGGAAGACTGGAAGTACCCACCAGAGGCTCCTCCCTCTGAATGGCCTAATTTATTGATTTCCAACATAGTTCTGCTCGAAATAGAAAAGGAAATAACATTATTCCACTTTAAGGAGGGAACATACCTTTACTGTGTGGCCCTGGTTAGCACGTATCAGAAGTTCTCCATTCTCTTCCAACAGGCCGAATCTTTGCTTGTTATCCTTCTGTACTGCCTATACGAATACAATGAAAATCAGTTCACTCAACTGAAAGAAAGGAAGTTCATTCAATGAAAAGCCAGCATTTGTTTTCCAGTTAGGACCAGAAGGTATCAATCTTTTTCAACTAAATTGACTCGAGAACCATTTGCAATCCAAGGAATAAACAGATCAGAGGTTTCGTCCACCTCATACAAGAAATGGAGGCAACAAATTAAAGGAGCACAAGGCTTCACATAACTAACCTCTTTGACATCATCAACAGTGTGTGACCTCAATGGGACATTGGCAAATGTTTTTAAGTTTAGCTTTAACAGATCCTGCACCTTCACATACCCATCATTCCTCATATTCAAGTTTAGCTCAGAAGCCATGTGCCGCAAAATGCGTGTCCTAAGTTTAAACAACAGTACAGAATAATCGAGATATCATACTTAGTTTAGACAAAGTTTGGTTTTTGATAAGAGAACTTGTAAAGTTTAAGACAAGTGACACTTGGTACATAACGAACTATAGTTTCAAACACTACAGTATGTATATACCCTTAATACCTTGAAGCCTGGAACTAATCACTTCCAATGATCATTATGGCTAGACAAAATTTAAGTACTATTTTTTCTCTTATTAACTCCCACTCCCCCTGAGTTTCGCAAAGCATTGCTGGTCCAAACCAGGATAAAGGAAGAGGATCGCAGTAAGTTGAAGTGTAAAATGGTCTATCTAAGAATCATTATGAATCTTCGAATAATAAGGGCAGCCCGGTGCACTAAGCTCCCACTATGCGCGGGGTCCGGGAAGGGCCAGACCACAAGGGTCTATTGTATGCAGTCTTACCCTGCATTTCTGCAAGAGGCTGTTTTCACGGCTCGAACCCGTGAATCACGTATAAGCAACTTTACCAGTTACGCCAAGGCTCCCCTTGGCTAATAATGAAGGACCCAAATAATAAAAAAAATTGGTTAGTGAGGATTCATGAAGCCAAAGCCAACTAATTGGGATTACTGTTCTGTTGATTGACTGATTGTACTATCATGTGTCACAAGAAGAAAGATAGTTTATCTACATGAATCACTGAAATCACTGGCACCTAACCTGAATAGAGGGAAATGTAAACATATGATTCATATAGCTGCACCCAACTAATTTAGAATTGAGGCTTAGTTGATTAATTGACTACCATGGGGTCCCATAATAAAAAAGATCAATACCAAAAGCCCGAAAGCAGAAATACATAGTGATATACATACAAGAGTCTCCCAAGAGCATCAATTTTATCTTTGCCGGAGCTGGAAGCACCACCGCCACGGGCTCCTGATCTTTCCTTATTGTCCCATCCTCTCCCTCTTCCTCTACCACCGCTGCCATTGATTCAGAACCATAATTTTCCAATTAAAGATTGAAACTTTACAGAGAATTATTCAGCAAAAGAAGAAGAAAACATATTACCTTCGATTGGAATGAGCAAAGGCAGAGGAGGAGGAGGATGAAGAGGGTTTGTGGAAACCCGTGTTGTCCATTGAAGAAGTAAAAGCAGGGAAACCACAGAACAGAGAAGAAGAGAGAAAGGATGTCAAAGGGGGTGAAGGAAGAGAAAAGATGCGGCAACGTACAAGTCGCAAACTGGAGGTACTCAGTCGAGAAGTGAACATATGGAATAAGCTGGGGAAACTAATTGGGTCAGTGGGTCAAAGCTCCAATTAGCTTTCTCAGATTTCTCTTATGGCGGTCCTCTATTAACCGTTTTTCAGACCCGCAACGGTGAATGTATAGATTGTTATGGACAACTTTTAAGGACACTACCCATTATCAATAAGTAATAGATTTTAAACAATTATATAGATATTATTAAAAATTGTCTACTTGAGTTATGAAATAAATGTTTAAAAAAGTAATTTCAAACCTTAAAATAAAGGATATTGATTCTATTAGTAAACTCAATAATGAAAAAAAAATATTATATTGTTCCTACCATTTATTTTTTATGGAATATTTTATTTATTTCGGGACTTGAAATCAGAATGAAAACATATACTTACTAATCATTGAGTTATGCAGTGTGTTTGTTCAAGCGTGCTTTCTATTTAGAAAATTCTATCAATATTAGTTAACTTCAAACCCTAAATATTTTTTTCCTACAAGTTTGAATTTTGAAGTTTGTATTTGTAGTTTTGTAACCATGTGTAATAGTATTAGACTCTATTCCATATACTTGAAAACTATGATAGATATATTATAAAAAAATAAATCAAACCGAAACAGTAGCTAATTTTGGAAATAGATCTCGATTTTTTTCTTATGAGTACGGTTATGGCAAAGAAGTATTAACTTGAACATATAATATAGTATGTATAAACAAGTAATAAAAATCTTAACAACAAAAACAGAAACAATATAAATGAGAAATAAAATTCGAAAAAAGATTTGCCTCTAAAATCCGATCTAATTGGCACTAAGTCTCAATCACACGCTCCACATGAGTCTTCCTTCACCTGCACAAGAATATTGCCAATGATCAATAGTGACTTATATAAATTTGTTACAGATATATTGTTCGAACATCGTGAGAAGTCTAATAACTTTGCAAAAATAACAAACATATCGATGAGGGAAAAGGTAAAAAAAGAACAACAGTATTTATGGAACATTAGATATCTCTAAAGAATTAGCTTATTTTGCACTTTAAACTCATGTTTTTAGGGAACTAAAAAAGGAAGAAATATTCCAAAGAAGTCATCTACTAAACCTAAAAGAAAGCCACATGTTAGTAAAGAATTCTAATTCTAAACGAAGAAAAGGCTAAAGAATCCTAAACCTAAATAAAGACACGGCAATACACGGAAATTTCTAATTTTTTTTTTCTAAAATAAAATAAAAAATAGTGGTAATTAATTACAATTATATCCAAGATAAAATATACTTACTAAGGATAAAAAAGGCGAACAATATTTCGGTAGGGGCTTCGTGCTTTTAATATAGTACTAGTTTCTATGTACGTGCAATGCACGAATATCCTTAGTGACGGAGCAAAGTTGAAGAATGGGGATTCAAATAAATCTCCTTCGTATAAAATTATATTGTGCGAATAGAGCAAAAGATTTTTTTTAAATTATATATAAGCTGTTAAATTTCCTTGACATAAGAGAAAATTCAAGTGAAGAGATAAAGTGGTTTAATATTTTGTGTCAAATATTACGAAGTGCGTATCAAAAGTAATAAACTTTCAACTGAATAGATATTCTAAATTATTACTTAATATGTGTGAAATCTGATAATTGGTTCCTCAAAATAAAAATACTGTATTTTTTGCACCAACACTAAAAATAGTCATTAATCAGATGTACCAACATTAATAAAATACTGCATTTTTGGTACTTACCAACAATATCGTAATAAAAATCAATCAAACTACAGAAGATGACAAACTTTGTAATGAAAAAACATAAAAATCAATCAACCCGTACAAAAAAAAGCCCGATTATGAAAAAAAACAAATATCAAGAAAAAAGGACAAAATAAACGTTAGTCAAGAAAGCTATATATGAGCAATAGAAGTAGTAGCAAAGATGGAGAAAGTCGTTGTAGTACTCCGTTTAAGTTGTTATTTATGAACTTTATATTTCTTTTACCTTGGATTGAGCTATTAGGGATCTAGTTACCTACCTTTAGATCTTCTATTGTTATTTAAATTTAAATTTGTCTTCTACCCAAGTTTTAGTTAATCTACAATTGTTATACGTGATCAAGCGCACTTTTAATCATAAGATATCCTTATGTGAATATTCAAATTAATTAAGCGATATGTTTGGTTGCAAGTTCCAAGTTAGTTTGACCCAAAATCAACTTTACGCTTATCGTATGTATAGTTCAAATGGGAAAAAAATTTCGATCTTAGGTGATTTCCAATTATATCCTTAAATTATACAAGTATTTAGGGTTTAGAACACATATATCACGTCATATACGTAGAAAAAAGTTGTACCTAAACCCATCCGTCAAGTTGAAACCTAATTATCGTCCGCTGCAACATATATGCATGAATAAAAGAAACATATAAAAAAACACATTTGTACTAACAAATAATGTGAACAACTATATCTGTTCCAGTTTTTCGAAAATATGACCAAAACAAGATGTTTGTTAGAGTTAGGAGCCAAGAGTTTTAGAAAAACAAATTACAGATATTGAGTTGCTCCCGAATTTTTCTTTACCAGTTGCTGACGGATTGATAGCCAATCTAGATGAAGACTGCATCGACACTCTATATTGTGGCTAATTAGTGACACAGGGATAATCGGGAATATCTATAGCGAATTTAAAGGTATACTCGATTTTTCACCGTTCAAACTTGCCTTTCCAATCACATAAAAAAAGGTTATTTTCTATAAAGTAATTATTTTCTCAAAAAAGTGTAAAGTTAATAAAAGGATTGAGATATTGTTGCAACCAATTTGAATACAAATTAATATGTTTGTGCTACTTAGCCTACTTTGTCTAGGTGTCTCAAACAAATACATAGTGTTGTTTTCTTTATTGAGATCGTTCTAAAAACTTTTTTCAAATTAATTAAGTGTTATATTTGGTTCAAACTCCAAGTTAGTTTAAGCCAAAATCAAACTTTGTACGCTTGCCGTGTATGTAGTTTAAATAGGAAAAGAATTCCAACTTTAAATAATTTACAGTTACATCCTTAAATTATATAAATATATAAGGTTAAAAAAGTCGATCAATATTTCAAGGATATTTTAGTCGTTCAACATTTAGCATAAATTATTCGTGCTTTTATAATAATATAGATAGATATAGATTATTGCCTTTAGATTAACCTATTTTTATCCCAAATTTTATTACAAACTAAACTACATAATACTTGCATAAATTAAGCATCTATTAGTAACACAAATTTATATGAAATCCAACGTTACATTAATTATAATGCCAAAAACCACCATTTATATTAATTACGTGAACACTTTATATTAGCTTTGAGTTTTATGTTGCAATCAAACATTGTATTAGTTATACGAGATTTTATGTTAAGTTATATGTTCACAAGATTCATCACTACTGGTGAGGTTGGAGGATTTACAAGAACGGTTATACAAATCCGAGATCCTTGAACTACTTCAGTTTAAAGTGGATTGGCTCTTATAATAGAAAACTATTGTGAACAAAATGGTCTAACAGACATTTTAACAGTGAGAGAATCCCGTCATCCCTCGGCAATTGAGAGTTCGACTGAGTTGCCAAGTATTTTGATGAGATTTGTTTCTGCTAACCAATCGAAGGAAGACATTTGTTTCTGCTAACCAATCAAAGGAAGACACGGCATTCCGTGACAGGGAGAAAATAACCCTGCAAATCATTCAAAACTAGCGAGTCCAATCCACATTGAACCACCTAGGGATGTGATTGAACAATAAAGATTATAGTCGAGAGCCAGAGAGAATCCAAGCAACAATCCATAGTAGACAAGAACCAGAGACAGAATCCAAATATTCATAGAGGTATCCGAATGATAATGAGCAAGTCAAACAATCCAACTGACTTACGGCTGTGTATGTAGTGACAAGTTTGACGTCGTTCCATTTGTTTAGGACAAGATAAGAGCTACTACTAATTATCTCGCTTCAAGGAAGGCAAAGTCAAATTCCATTCAGGTTTGCACAAGTTCATGAATTAGTAGCATGTGGTAGAATTACTATGTAGCCTACTTCCAAAACTTTGATGAGACGGGAAATTGAAAAACAGCAGCTAAATATAAATATACCACAAGTACTAAGAGAATCGGATGCCAATTTAAAGCTGGAAATGTTCCCAAACAAATTTTGTTCCATTCAAACTCGGCCATACAAAAACAACTTAGTCTATAATTTTGAAGATGTGACTTGTCCAAGAAACTAGTAATCCCGTGCCATGATCTCCTCTAAGCCACAAGAGTACTGGCGGTGGTAGATTCACTGCAAGGCAAAAATTGACCTTAGTAATGCAGTTATCGAGATTTTGTAGAATTAAACAAAATGCAGGAAGTAAAAAGGGCTAAAGTGGGGGGCGTTAATAAAACTCATCTGATATAACCCAAAGCAACTATAACACACTCGGACCACATTGTGCACACAGAGAGCTGCAAGTAAAACTTTACAAGGTATGCACCTCACTAGTGACCATAGTAAAAGATCTATACGAGCGCAATGTCGGGTATTTTGCACATCAAGGCAATGCCAAAAGGTAAGGGGTGCATAAAAGCAGTAACAAATTTATTAAATCGTATAATACAAGTCCCGAACTAAAATTGATCGACCACTTCATTCGTAGACCTACATAGCGCATTTGGTGGAACCACAGAGAGCCTCCGAGTAGAATTAATTTAGCTAGTAAATTTTCATATGACAAGTATTTAACATGCCAGGAAAACAAGATATTTTGAAACAAAATTTCAACTTGCACACATATAACACATGCAAAACCAAAATAAAAATGTGTTCTAGATGATTAAATCAGAAGCAGTTCATCGCTAAAATAAAATACAAAAGAATGAACTTACTACTTCCAGACTGGTGGAAGCTTCTTTGTTTTCTTATAGTAGCGAGCAAGTCGATGAATCCTGCTCTCGACGAGAATCAATCTAAACTTGGAATCCTTGTCTTTCCTGTTTCTTTCAAGATGCTTCCTGATGGCCACTGCTTTCTTGATAAGGTGGTAGAGATCCTCAGGAATCTCAGGAGCAAGTCCTGATAGGAAACATTATTAGGTTAAACAAGCATTCCTTTAGAAAACTTATATCAAGGAACAACTTAGATACACAAAAAAGAAAAATGAGTACCATGAGCCTTCAGGATTCTGAGAATCTTGCTACCGGTTACACTCTTCACTTGAGCAATTCCATGAGAATCACGAAGAATAACACCAATTTGAGAAGGTGTCAAACCTTTCTTTGCAAACTTGCAGATGTTATCCTCAACCTGGAAAGCACAACATTGCTGTTACTTGAGAAAAGCTGAAATAATTTGATACGTTTCAACAGTCACACACCAGTCAGTCAGTGATGCAACCAATAATTATCACATATATCTCTACATAAAACTTGAAATTCTCAATGGACCAAAGCCTAAAAAGTTAAATCATGAGCTATGGTGAATTGAAATCACACGTTCAAACAACATGGAGAAAGGGTTACACAAATGTTTGTGGAAACCTGTCATCGTGCATCCATGTAGAAACTACAGGCATTAAAGAGGCAACAGTAACTTATACTAAAGGTCACATTTCCTAAGGCCAGTAGTTAATGCCTTATATTGGTTCTTCAGTAAATTTCAAATGAATTTACAACACTCCTAGACCTAGAAATCCCACCCGCAAGCTAAAGATGCGCACATATTTAGGTCCCAACTAATAATCATCATTAAAAGAAACTAGCTATTCAGCATTTCCATAGTTTTTTAAACAAGTATTAAATAAGTAAATCAACTACCAGCTATATGAATACTTCGCTTTATCCAGGTTTTAGTATTTAAAGGATCCACTCCTGTCATTATGTAGAAATTTAGAATTCAGACAAGGTATTTACAACCTCTATATTTTTCTTCCCCATTTTATTAGTTATCAAATTATATGTAGGAAAGGAAACAAAAGGAAAATTCAAGTTTTTTAATAAGCGAAAAATTCCTTACATCAGGAGCAGAGATTTTCAGCCAGCTTGGTGGAGTCCTCTTGTATGGAAGAGCTGAAGCTGAAATACCCTTACTAAGCACCCCAAAAAAAAGATTGACAAAATACAAAAATCAGTACAATGTGGCATGAGCAAGTGATACTTAAACAGGAGGTAAGAATGAACGAACCCTCGACTGTGCATACGACCCATGGTGGCTGTTTGGTGGCGTACGATGGTGTGCGAGTGGCTGCCGCGCTCCGGTTGGCTCTGTCAGCGAAACCCTAGAATAACAACTGAAGGAGGATTAGAGTTTTCTATATATAGGTTCTTTATTTGCATTGAAGTCCTTGGTATATTTGGAATTGTAATTTGGATCTTTTAGAATAATTACATATTACACCCTGATGTTCAGTGATTTTCAAGAAACCTCTTATAGTGACAAAAAGAAAGACTCGCCCATTATTTCAATGCAAAAGATACAAATTTGTCACCTAAACTATGCAAAATGGTCAAGTTTTGTCTAATTGCTGTTAGATCAATCTTTGTTGTTATAAAAATGGGTTAAATTTTTCTTTGGTGACTAGGGTTCCATTATTAAAGATTAATCTCCACCATTAACAAATAGTTCAGGGGAAAATCTCAATCGTTTCGCATAGTTCATTGACAAATTTGAATAAGTTAGAATAAATCAAGGTTTTAAGAATTTTGGCATTACATTTACTAGTGACAATAAGGCATGGCGAAAGCTACAACTTTTGCACTGAAAACCACTAAAAAAAAACCTCATTTCCTAAAGTTTTAGCAAACTTCAATTATTCAAACATACTCAATCGACAAATTCATCAAGATATGCTTAAGTTCTCAATTCTACCGGATTTAATGTTCATCGCCAATTTCATACTTAATTTATTTTAATACCAGTTGGACAAAAATGCCCATAAACTTTTTCTCACCAATTGTTAAATCGACTTTTGATGCTTTGTCAAAGTCATCTTTAACTTTTTGTGAACAATTTTAGAGAACAAAAAGTTCTGAGAATATCCAAATTCTAAAAGATAATGGAGCTTTTAAGTTGTGTATGGGAAATGGAAAAATAAGAAGATGGAATGATGTCAGGTTTGGTAAATGAAGGTGATATTGTTCATGTGTGCATTTTTGTGAATTAAAGTTGATATCGACAATGGATTAAGTATGACAGCAAGATGAGATATAGTAGATATAAAAATAAAAATGGTGGTTATTATGTTGTAAATTGAAGGAGCAGTTGTTAAGCAAATTCCTACGGATTCAAGTCAATCTGCACAGTGTGGCGATGCAATTAAAAAAATTAAAGGGATTTTATTTTGTAATGGTGAAGATAGGGGGTGGATGAACGGTCTAATTGATGTTATGCGTGGAGGAGGTGGTGTGTGTAAAGGATTCTTGACTAATGTCTTGTTAACATAGGAGATATTGTACTAGTTTATCTATATCTTTTTGTATCCTTCAGTTAACCTATATTCCAGGAGTTTGTTAGGTTTATATCTCATCTTATCCTTATGTATCTTTACGCATGTTCTTCTGTATCTTTTTGGCTGTAACTCTGCTCGTATAAAGAGCTTCTTTATCATTCCGCAGCTTATACGCTTTACGGTATTAGAAGCTTAAAAGAACTCTTGCGTGTTAGATCCTAATTTCTTTTCCCATCCCTACACTACTCAAATGGCTCCTACTGTTGTCAACTCTGATGCGACGAACAACATTGTTGTTCAGTTTAACCCTGTCACATAACTTCCCATTAACCTAGTAGGTAGTCATAATTTTTCCCTTTGGAAGGCTCAAGTGTCGATGTTTATGCTTGGCCACGATCTGTATGGCCATCTTGATGGAACTACCCTACTCCTAGCCGAACTATCTCCTCGGGCAACGAAACTATTACCAACCCTGCATACCCAACCTGGTTTCGCCAGGATCGGCTAATTCAAAATGACATCCTAGCTTTAGTTGATCCTACTCTTGCTGCATCTGTTTCTTCAGCCAACACTTTTAAAAATGCTTGGGATGCGCTTCACATAGCGTATGCAAATAAATTCCAAACGCGCATTTTCAATCCACGTGATCGCTTAGCTCGTCTTGCAAAGGATGCTCTGCCTGTCACTGACTATATGCATTAAGTTCGCTCTATTTGTGATGAACTTGTTACCACTGGTGCTCCCGTTTCCAACGAGGAGCTTATTGTAAAGATCATCGCTAGTCTTGGAACTGAATTCAAAGAATTTTCAGCAGCTATTCGGGCACGAGATACTACCATCTCATATGAAGAGTTGTATGAGAAGTTACTTGGTCATGAACTTTTCCTGGAACATCATGATACTCGCGCTTTTCTCTCAAATTCCATTACTGATGCTGTCGCACAACACTCTATTGCACAATCTCGAAACAACACCAACATAGGCGTACCAATACAGCAAACAACAATCAACCCAATCGAGGCCAACCATGGAAAGCTCGAAAGAACATTGCTCAGTCTGATAACAATTTGGGCTGTCAACTATGTGATCATCCTAGTCACTCTGCCCGAGTCTGTCGCAGCTAGTCGCACAACCATTTTCAGGCTAGAGCCAACCTTGCTGAACGTCAACTATTACAACAAGCACCATCATCAACGCAGGGGCCACCCATCACATTGCCTCTGATGCTTAAAGCCTAGCAATTGCTCAAGACTACCACGGGCCTGAGGAAATTGATGTGGGTAATGGTACCATCATACAAATCTCCCAAACTGGTAACACTGAACTAAAAGCATCAAATTATCGCTTCACCCTATCTAATACTCTCTGCTCTCCTGTTATAAAAAATAATCTCATATATGTCTTTCATTTTTGTCGTGACAATAGCACCTTCATGGAATTTTTTTCTTTTTTTTTTTATCTTGTGAAGGGTATGAGTACAGGGGCACCGCTAGTTCAAGGGCGGAGTAACGGGTGACTGTATGCGTGTCGACCAGATTGCAATCCTAAGTGCAATGTGGCTGTTCCAATTCAACTGTGGCACCGACGTTTGAGTCATCCAAATCGTCGCACTTTAAACAATATTTTGCAAAAATTATCAATGTCTGTTAGTTCTTCTAGAATAAGTTCTGATTGTAATTCCTGCAATTCTAATAAAGGCCACAAATTATTTTTTTCAGTTAATTCTTTGAAGAGTCAACGACCCTCCAAATAATTTACAGTGATTTGTGGGGGCCTGCATCAATTTTATCCATTGATCAAAAATGATGTTATATTCTATTTATGGATCACTTTTCAAAATATATGTGGCTATACACCTTAAAATCTTAAGAGGAAGTTTAGGAAGTCTTTAAAACACTACATCCACTCTTAGAAAGATGTTCAAACAAAAATTTTTTCTTTTTACACTGATGGAGGAGGTGAATTCCAAAGCTTAACTTCCTATTTAAAATCATAGGGTATTGAACACTTAGTTTCCCCACCATACACTCCACAACGAGTTGCCTTGGTAGAACGTTGTCATCTGCATGTTATTGAAACTGCAAAAACACTTCTACATCAAGCCTCGTTACCCTCTAAATTTTGGAGTTTGCTTGTCATCAAGTTGTATATCTAATAAATAGACTCACTACACAACTTTTAAATAATCGGTGCTCGTATGAAATTTTATTTAAAGAAGCACCGAATTATGAGTCTATTAAAATTTTTGGTTGTTTATGCTATCAATGGCTTAGACCATATGCCAAAAATAAATTAGAACCAAAGTCAAAACCCTATGTTTATTTAGTTTTTTCGAATAAATATTATTCTCATCATTGTTTTGATCCTGTCACCTCCAAAATATATCTTTCCCGGGATGTGGTATTTTTGGAAAATAATTATCCCTTTGTAAATATTTTTCAACAATATAAGGATACCAATAAACTCCCAGCATGGGATATATCGGTTAAAGATATTAAAGGAACATAGTGATATATCTCCTTTAAGTGCAAGTTTTGAATTGCCATCTCTAATTTTCATGCATATAGAGTCATCGAATGCTCCTCATCTTCCTATGCGTGCGTCTTCACGTTCAAGTAATGATCTCTTCTCTTTGTCTTCAAACTCTACTTCATCTCAAACTTCACCACCTGAAAGTAACCTTTCTGTCCAAAATAATCGGAATCAATCCCCAATTCCAAATCGACCAACCTCAGCAGCTCCTCGAAGATCCAACTCACCTATCACCATAGCCTACCAAAGCCGAAACACCCTCCCTCAACAACCTGCACCAAACCCCGATCAACTCTCACTCCCTAAGACCAACTCTAATCACCCTCCCCCTCGTCACCTAATGATCGCATGCTCTCAGACTAACAGTCTGAAACCTAAACATTTCCATCTCTCAGTTCAATCCACCCCCATATCTGAACCTATACCAAACACCTTCAAATAAACCCAATCCCACCCTTACTAGCGAGCTGCCATGCAATCTGAATTTGATGCTATAGTCAGAAACAAGACATGGGATTTAGTACCCAGTGATCCCTCACGAAATGTGGTTGATTGCAGATGGTTATTTAGGATTAAGCATAAGCCTAATGGTTAAGTTGATAGGTACAAAGCAAGACTTGTTGCGAAAGGGGTTTACTCAGCGACCTAGTTTGTACTATCATTCCACCCTTAGTCCGGTGATTAAACTCACAACTGTTCGTTTAGTTCTTGCTATCTTGGCCCATCCACTATTTGGAAGTCAATAACACATTCTTAAAAGGGAAGCTTGAAAAAGAGGTCTATATGAGGCAACCTACAGGTTTTGAATCTACTTTGCATCCTACTCATGTGTGTAAGCTTAATAAAGCTATCTATGTTCCGAAACAATCTCCACGAGTTTGGTACAATGAGCTGAAAAATCATCTTCTCGCCCTTGGTTTTATTAAGTATGAATTTGATGCATCTCTTTTTATTCTATATAAATCTGGAGTTACTGTATACATCATTGTTTATGTGGATGATATAATTGTGAATGGTAACCAGCCACAAACAGTGAAGTCCACAATTGATGCTTTGTCTTCAAGGTTCTCTCTTAAAGATCTTGGGTTGCTTCATTACTTTCTCGGTGTTGAGGTTACACAGACAGCAGATGGTTTGCTCATATCTCAGCATAAGTATATCAAAGATCTTCTCCAAGATGTAAACATGGCTGAATGCAAAGGTGTTCTCACACCTATTACATCTACATGTACCTTTGAAACTTCTCATGAGGATTCCAAAGTGGATGGCACTCTTTATCGTCGAGTCATTGGAAAGCTTCATTACATGTTCTTCACTCGGCCTGACATTGCCTTTGCAATAAGTAAATTATCTCAATTCATGCATCAACCGGGTGTTTCTCATTGGAAAGTTGTCAAGCGTCTTTTGAGATATCTTTGTCATACTTCTCATATTGGTATTAAGCTTGCTAAAAAATCTACTGCTCAATTGGTTGCCTATTCTGATTCGGATTGGGCTAGTGACCCACTTGATCGTACTTCTATCACGGGGTATATTGTATATCTTGGTGATTCTTTTATCATGTATCTTTTACCATGTTAGCATAGGAATTGTTGTATATTACCCTTCTAAATAAGGGTATTCTTGTCTCTTACACTTATGTACTGCTTCATAAATACAATGACAACCCCAAAACATTACTATGGGGCATTATTATATCATGGTATCAGAAGCCTAAAGATCCTACCCTAACCCTACCTAGCGTCGACCGTCGATGAAATTCAAGGCCGAAGCATCTCTTGCTTTCTCCACGTTTTTTCCTTCTCAGTTACTTATGTCTTCTTTTTGCTATCAAGCCTTATTTAATTAATCCTTTCCACTATTACTTTATAGATTTTTTTATACTCTTTTTAACTTTCTTGTGTTCCCCACATTACATACCACAGATTTTCACCTTTTGACCTTTCTTCTTTAAACCATTAGATACAAAATTGTTCTCCACCGTTTCTTTTCCCCTCCAGTCAATTCTCATATTTAAATAAAAAAGGAAGCCCATCTCTCGTTATTTAGTTATTTTAATTTCGTTTCTTGCTACATATTCTTTTATTATTAATATGGTTGGGACTGCTTTTTCTGTGCATATTAAGGATCTTGTTCCTGAAGTTTTACATCAAACTAATGATCTTAAATGGGCACATCTCATTTTACCTGTTATTGAGATGTATGATTTGTTTGGACTCATTGATGGTTCTGAATCACCACCTCCTGAATTTAATGTTTCTTCTGATGGTACTTCCAAGTCAGTCAACCCTGCCTTTGTTATGTGGAGAAAGCAAGACTGTCTTCTTCTTACCTGGATTCAGGCAACAATTCACAATGACCTTATTCCTCTATTATATCATTGTTCTACAGTTGTAGATGCTTGGACCACATTAAAAAGTCACTTTCTCCATCAATCCACAGGGAGAGAAATGATGTATATCAATTACATCTATACTATATTAAAAGCACGAAGGCCCTTAGCGAAATGTCGTTCGCCTTTTTTACCCTTTAAAAATAGAGTTTATATTGGACAAAATTGTAACTTAAGTTACTTTCCTATTATTTAGAATTTTAAAATTAATTCTCATTAATATACTTGGCCTAATATTTAGGACCTTCCTTAAATTAAAATTTCTCTTCGTTAGGCAGTATAGTGAAACCATTAAATATTAGATGTCATACCCAAAATAACTAATGATTCTTATTAGATGCGTATTTTCTTTTGTTATTTATGTTAAGAAATCTAGGAATGTTTTCTTTTTTACCTTTTCTTATTTTAAGAAATTGTATGAATACTTTATTTTATTAAGAAAACAATTCACTAAACATAGAATTAAAAGTAAATTACAATACGTTCCTCTATCATTAGCCTTCTTTAATCTTTATTTTACATCTTTATATCTCACATACATTACTTAATAATATTTATGGAATTTTAAGAAAATATAACTCATTGTAAGGTACACGCGCAACGCGCGTAGCCTAAGACTAGTACTATTAAAAAGGGAGATCTCTCTATAGATGCTTATATGTCTAAGATTCAGGAATTGGTTAATTGCCTCCGCTCTATTGGCCGTAGTGTTAATGACTCTAAGTTGGTTCGATGTGCTCTAAATGGACCTCCATTGTCTTATGACTCTTTTGTGATCATGGCCTCGCACATGCATCCTGCTCCTCGATTTTCTGAGTTGTGGACGATGCTTCTTACTGATGAGGCTTGTACTTTGCCTTCTCCTGATCTAGTATCACCTACTACGGCGTTGGTTGCTACAGTAGATGATCCTCTTTCCTCAGCTTCCTCGGGATATCTTTGATGTGGTCATGGTCGTGGTCGCGGTCGTGGAGGTGGCCGTGGTCGTGGCCGAGGTCGTGCTCAAGATAATGGTTGTGGCAATATTTCACAGTTTCATTATAGCCCGTCACCTTCCCCAGTTTCTCGTGGTGGTCCTTTCCAGCATTCTACCTTTGGTCGTGGTGTCTTGGCTCCCTCACCTTATAACTTGCCTGCATTTGTGGCTCCTACTCCCACTTCTACTACTGTGATTTGTCAGATTTGTGATCTTTCTGGTCATACGGCACTTGCTAGTCCTCAACACCATTCATGCTTATACTGCTCCAAGACTTCAGGCAAATATGGCAGCACTCTCATTGCAGTCCCCTCCAAACAAAAAGTGGTACTTGGATTCTGGTGCAACCACACACATGACAAATGATTTGGGTAATCTCTGTTCATTTTTTCCTGTTTCAAATGATTCCACATTGGTTGGTAATGGTACTCGTATTCCCGTTAACGGTGTTGGTTCTTCTTCTCTTTCAACTCCTTCTTGCTCCTTTACTTTGTACCCTGTTTTTTATGTTTTGCATATTTGCATGAATTTATTATCCGTTCATCAATTTACCAAAGAAAATAATTGTGGTATTAACTTTTTTCCTTAGGGTTTTGATGTTAATGATTTGGCGACGGGGAAAGTTCTGCATCACTCTCGCACTGATGGGCCTCTCTATCCTTTTCAGTCTTCCTCTGCATTGTCATTGTCTGCTCAGCCATCAATCTTTGCTGCTCTACATGACTCTAGTTCTATTTGGCATGCGCGTTTGGGGCATCCAAGTCATGTTGTATTAGATTTACTTAGATCTAGAAAGTTAATTTCATTGTCTAGCCCTTTTTCTATTTTTTTTTGTAATTCTTGTTTAAGCTCTAAACAGTCGGCTTTGCCGTTTTCTTTAAGTACTTCAACTACTTCTTATATTTTAGAGTTAATTCATTCTGATGTTTGGCAGTCCCCTGTGCCCTCAGTTAGTGGTTATTATTATTATGTTCTTTTTATTGATGATTTCACTCGTTACACATGGATTTATCCTCTTTATCATAAAAGTGATGTCATATCTTATTTTGCCAATTTTAAGCTTCTTGTTGAAAATCAATTTGGTGGATCTATTAGGACATTTCGTTCAGATGGCTGGGGTGAGTATCAAAGTTTTTCCTTTATCTCTTTTCTCGGTTCGCATGGTATTCATCATCAATTATCTTGTCCTCACACACCTCAGCAAAATGGTGTAGAGCGTAAGCACCGTCATATCACAAATGTTGCTCGCACTATACTTTTTCATGCTCATGCCCCTCTTTCTTTATGGATCGAAGCTTTTCTTACCGTTGTTCATCTTATTAATCGTCTTCCTTCTCCTTCCCTAGCTAAGCTCTCTCACTATGAGAACCTATTTGGGGTTCCACCTGTCTATACCATTTTAAAACCTTTTGGGTGTCTTTGTTATCCTTATTTGCGTCCTTATCGTTCTCACAAACTTGACTCTTTTTCTTCTCCTCCTTGAGTGTTTTTAGGGTGCAGTTCTAGTCACAAGGGATATCGGTATCTATGTCTTGATACTAACCGTGCCTATATTAGTCGCTCTGTTCACTTTATTGAGCATTGTTTTCCATGTGCAAATTTATCTGCTTTCTACTTGCTTGTCCTTATGTGCCCCGTGTTCTCCTCCCTATGCCTGCTGCATTACCTAGTTCTACGCCTACTACACCCGAGTCTACTAGTTCTGCCACTACTTCCATGTCCCCCTCTTCTTCTGTTGAATCTCCTAGTTTATCTCCCCTTCCTCCTTGCTCCTTAGACTCATCTTCCTTGCCTTTGTCTAGTACTGATTCATGTCCTGTATTAAGGGTGCTTATCGGGTGGATAATTATGCTTAACGGTTTGGCTTATCAGTTATCGGATTATAAATATAGTAATCCGCTAGCCGTCCAATAAGACAACGGGTGAATTGGTGTCGGATTAACGATTATCAGACGGTTATCGGGCGGTTTATCAGCTAAACCAAAAAGAATTTTTTTGAACAATTCTAATCTTGTGAATACCAAACGGCCAAACTGCATAATTCACTGCTTTTATCATTTCAACTTACCATTCGTAATCCTCATTTCATTACTCAATGAAGACTTGTCATGGAGTACAAATACAATCTCTGGAACAAATTTTTTGAATACTCAATGAAGACTTTTCATAGAGGTCGTGACTTTCTCTAGAAGAAATCAATTACGTAATGAAGATACACATATTGTCATGCATAAGGATTAAGGAGGTAAAAGTGTAAATATTTTTTTAGAAGCAAAATTCTCTCTTTCATTCAGGAACAGAGATACAATGTTTCAATAATAATGCTACAACATTTCAAGGGGATCCGTAAAGATACACAATAAGGTGATACACTTCTAATTTATGGTTACCCAGTAAAAATGGTTTCTGTCTTTGCAAATTTCAGACATTGATCCCTCCATTCATCTGTATCCTTGTATGTTATCCGGCTGTAGAAATTATCTAAATAACTCTCACCTTTCAGCTGTTCCATTGTATTCATTCTTTACATCATTATACACCAAAATTGTATAAAATGACCTGCTACAATAGAAGCTTCCTCAACCTATCCACTACAACCTTCCTCAAAGTGTAAATATAAAAATTCTTAACGGGTTAACGATTTATCCGATAAGAAAATTGAGTAATCCGTCCCCAAACCGTTAAGCCATTAATTATAAAATCTCAATCCTTTCACCATCCATTACCCCGATAACCCGATACCAATAAGCCAATAAGTCATCGGTTTAGTTCGGTTAACGGTTACGGTTCGATTTTGAACAGCCCTATCCTATATCCACCTCCATCATTGAGCCATCACCTTCAGTATCTGATTCTGCTCATCCCATGATTACTCGATCTAAGTGTGGTGTGGTTAAACCAAATCCAAAGTATGCTCTTAATTCTATGTGTTTGACTAATTTGCCTGTTGAGCCTACTTGTTTTAGCTTTGCAACTAAGGATGCTTAGATGGCGGAGTGCTATGGCGGAAGAGTTCAATGCCCTACTTGTAAACGAGACATGGTCTATTGTTCCTCGTCCATCTGGTGTTAATGTTGTTGGCGGCAAATGGGTCTATCGAGTTAAACAGAAGTCCGATGGCTCTCTTGATCGTTGTAAGGCGAGATTGGTAGACAAAAGCTATACTCAGGTACCTGGTGTGGATTATGGTGAGACCTTTGGTCCTGTTGTTCGTCCCACTACTATACGACTAGTCGTCTCTATTGCTATTTCTCGTAGTTGGTCTATTCATCAATTCGATGTAAAAATGTATTTCTTAATGGTTATTTGCATGAGTCTATCTATATGGAGCAACCACAGGGGTTTATTGATTCTGTACGACCAAACTATGGTTGCAAACTACGTAAGGCAATATATGGTCTAAGCAGGCGCCTCGTGCATGGTTTAGTCGGTTTGGTTCCTTTCTACTATCACATGGGTTTCAGAATAGCCGTGCAGATTCATCTATGTTTGTTTATTCATCTGGTGGTCAATATCTTTTCTTGTTATTATATGTGGATGATATCGTACTAACAGGCTCCAATCCTAGCTTAATATCCCTGTTTTCTAGATTACTTAACTCTGAATTTTCTATTACTGATCTTGGTGATCTTCATTATTTTTTGGGTATTCACGTCACTTGGTTGGTGAATGGTTTGCATCTCTCTCAGAGTAAGTATGCTCGAGATATTCTTGATCGTGCTGGTTTGTTACAATCCAAGCATGTCTCCACTTCATCGTCTTCTCGATCTGCCATTATTGAGGACTCTGCTGTTGTTGATGGTACTTTATACCACAATCTAGTGGGTGCTTTACAGTATTTGACTATGACTCGATCAGACATTGCCTTTGCGGTAAATACAGCTAGTCAACACTTACATCCTCCTACTTCCACTCGCCTTGCTGCTGTTAAATGCATTTTGCGTTATATTGCCGGTACTCTCGATTTTGGATTGTTGTTGAAACCAGTTACTACTTATTTTCTTACTGTATATTCGGATTCTGATTGGGCTGGTTGTCCTGATACTCGTCGGTCTACCACTGGATCTATGGTTTTCTTTTGTTCAAATCTCATTTCTTGGTCTTCTAAGAAGCAACATACTGTCTCTCGCTCTAGTACCGAGGCTGAGTATCGTGCCATGGCTCACACTATGGCTGAGGTATTATGGATTCAACAGTTGCTATGGGAATTGCATATTTTTCTCTTTGATGCGCCACTCATCTTTTGTGATAATGTAAGTGCCTTACATATTACAATGAATCCTATATATAATTCCCGTACAAAGCATCTTGCAGTTTATTTTTACTTTGTACGGGAACGTTGGATCTATTCTTGTTCGCTATCTTCCAACGGAGCGCCAACTAGCTGACATTCTTGCCAAGGGCCTATCCTCTCATCGATTTAAGACTCTTTGAGACAATCTTCGCATGTTCCCACACTCGATTGAGGGGGCGTGATAATATACATGTATATTTTACCATGTTAGCCTAGGAATTATGATATATTACCCTTCTAAATAAGGGTATTCTTGTCTCTTACACTTATGTACTGCTTGATAAATACGATGACAACCCCAAAATATTACTATGGGGCATTATTATATCAATTCTCCCTTCTCATTGTCTTCTAAAAAGCAACGCTATGTTTCTCGGTCGTCTACCGTGGTAGAATATGGAGATATTGCTGCTACAACCTCTGTAGTTGTTTGGCTCACCAACTTGCTTCTTTAACTTCGTTTCCCGCTGTCAAGTCCTACTCGAGTTCTCGGTGACAACATAAGCACTACTTACATTTGTTCCAATCCAGCTTTTCATAGTCGTATGAAACATGTTGAAATCAACTTTCACTTTGTTTGTCAGCTTGTCTAGTCTAAGGTTTTCGAGGTACATCATCTTCATTTTGTGGATCAAGTTGCAGATATTTTTACGAAGCAGCTGCCCTGTTCTACATTTCTACGTATTTATCCCAAGTTGGGTCTTGTTGACATAAGCCCCACCTTGCGGGGGCGTGTAAGGGACTCTTGACTAGTGTCTTGTTAACATAGGAGATTTTGTACTAGTTTATCTGTATCTTTTTGTGTCTTTTTTTATCCTTCAGTTAGCCTATTTTTTAGGAGTGTGTTAGGTTTATATCTCTTCTTATCCTTATGTATCCTTACGCATATTCTTCTGTATCTTTCTAGCTGTAACTCTGCTCTATATAAAGAGCTTATTTATTCATTCTGCAGCTTATACGCTTTGTTGTGATGGTTTAAGATTTAAAAGTTGGGAAAAGGTCCAAATTTGTTCATGAATAATGCGAGATGGTCGAGATTTATAGTTGTTAGTCTATTAACCCGGTTGTACATATTGATTTTATAAATTGCGGTCTTATACAATAACAATTATTACAATGCCCCAATTTTTAATTAGTTAAGGTAAGTTATATGAATCCATACTAACAATGTTTATAATTACTTTAAAACAATTGATTAACATGAAAAATAAAACATTTATAAAGAAAATCGAATTACTCGAATAATATTAACTTCATTACATAAACGTTGAAAAAGTTCATGGAATATTTACAAATACATACAAAGAAAAAATAAGGCTGAATACATCTGGAGACACTTAAAGTTGGCACCATTTTTTATTTTGACACATAAACTTAAGGGTGTTCCAATTGAGCACTTATAGTATCCTAAACTTTTTTCCAATTAGATACTTCTTACTGAGTTGGCACATAGAGTGAACTTCACCCAAAATAGGCGCGTGAAGAGCCCAAAAAATAAATTTTATCTTCATTTTATCTTTTTATTTCTTTCTTCTTCTTTTCTCTCCACCATCAGTTCCACCATTGTCTCCCCCACTTTCACCATTGTTGTGCCTCAACCATTAATTTAGCTCGAAAGTTTGAACCAACAATCGTCTCGGTTGATTGAAACCGAAGTGAGACCGTATTCTTCATTTGAAGTCAAAACACCATTACTGGAGTCTTTAAGAAAGCTTGAAGGTTTAAAATGGGTTACTTGATTTGATGAAAACTTTAGAAATTAATATTGGGGTTGTCTTCGAGTCTTTGTGGGGAATCTTTAACTGAAGTTATAACAAATTTGGAGGAGTTTCTCTTGAAATTTTGGATTAAAATCATGGTTGGAACAAGAATACACATGAAGATAGTGAAGAACACCAAGAACAATGATTTCAAGAACACCAATATGTCCTTTTTTTGTCTTTTCTTTTGTTAATAATGTGTCATTTTATGATTAGTGTAAATTAAAGTTTTTTTTTTCCTTTTTGAGAATGTTATTTTATTTTGTTTACTAAATAGATTTTAAAATAGTTTTTTTTAACTCAGAATGATATATGTCTTTTTCTGTTTGTCATTCGCCACGTCAGCAACGAGTGCATTGCACACACTTTGTAAGTTTGACTAATTGCCAAAAAAGTGCCTAATTGGAACAAGTCTAGGGTAATATAAGTGCTCAATAGGAACACCCTTAAGTTTAGGTGTCTAAATAAAAAGTGGCGCCAACTTTAAATGTCTCCATATATATATATATATAT